TTAGGTACAAAATAAAAAATAACAATTTATTTGTATTTCCGTTTATAAAAATATTATACTAAAATACATTTACACTGTTGTTAATAAAATCGATATATAATTATATTTAATTAAATGTAATTGAAATCTAGCGTAAATGGATTGAATATTTCTCCCCTTTAAAAATAATAAAATCTACAAAAAATAAAACCCAGCTATTCAATTGATTTAAAATAAACACTTTTAAAATGAAAACAAGGCGACCTTAATGTTCCTAAAGTCTTGGCTACAGCCCCGTGTTGGACGACTGACAAAAAGAAATCAGCACTGAGATAATATTCAAGGCTTCAGCACCTCATTTACACACCAGATACGTCTCCTCCTCCTCTCACCTTTTTTACCCTGTGTGGGTTCTTCTCTCTCCGGCACTTGCGGATGTCCATCTCCGTGGTGTTGACGCAGCCCGGCTGTGGGAGGCAGCGGGAGACAGAGCATGTTTCTGGGTCACATAACGCCGTCTCTCCATCATGTATTGTCTGTCCTGCTCGCACAATATGACGCTGTTCGGCCTCACAAAAGGCTTGTATGCAAAGCGACTGGCACCAAATCTGATTCCGCCGCCGACAACAAAACGGGGCTCTCAGCTGAGCAGAGTGTGGAGCCGGATCTGTAGTTATGGTTGTTTTAAAAGCAATAACTGTCCACCTTCAGACCAGACCTTCTCATTTCTGTCTTTGCAGCATCCGACCCTCTTGTTGTAACTCACCACTGGCCGATGGACGTCCCAGAATGCCCTCTCCTGGCTGTCGAGGATCTTCCTCTCTGCCTTGTCCTTCTTCCTGTCGATCCTGAGGAAACAGATCATTCGTATGTGGAGCTCACGCCTCTTAAATATCAGGTCAAACTGCTCAAACACAATAAATTATGCCTCAGAATGAAGGCCTCTCTCTCTCCGACACACACATACGCTCACTTTAAGCACCGACAGGCCGGACTAAAGGGCAGAAAGCTGAGGAGCGTGGGTCTTGACCTGTCTGCTCACTTCACTAAGCGATGCCTGGCGTCGCCGGCGGAGGGGCCGAGCTCTTACATAACTGACATTTACTCAAAGCTCCTCGCTCGGCATTGTTGCTCCCCTGATGTTGTTGCTTTCCATATCGCCCCGAAACAGCAGCCACTGAACAGGATTATTTTTACAGGCGAAAGAGGACAAGAAGTGATGCTGTGCTTACATGTTGCAGGCACCAGATGGCAGTCTTACAAAGCAATAAGAGCTGCTGAGAAGCGACGCTCAACTCCAAAGGGAAAATACCTGCTGTACTTAATGCATGCAGCCCTCCAGTCAGAACGGGGCAAAAGAAAAACAGCATTTTTAATGAGAGCCGCGTCGGTCCGGCAGCCAACTGACGCCGCACGCCGAGGCATGTTCTCTTCCTTTGGAAAATAACATCATGCACGCAGCCAAAGGTTAGCAGAATACATGCATAAATCCGATCGCATCAGCGTCTCTCCAACCTGTCACACGATGCGGAGAAGCCGTGTCGGGCGCACGCATGTACTCACTTGACTTGAGCCTCGGCCTGCATGAAGATGAATTCCCACTTCCTGGCGAAAGCCCTCTGCAGCCGGGCGAGGTTCTCCTGGAGGAGGTGGAGGAGAGTTTAGGGGGATTATTAGAAGGTGTTTGAATCCAAGGCCTTTGGATTGTGTTTGGAGTTTCACACAGGTATACGCTATGATTAAATAATCTCTCTGACAACTGCAAGAATCGTTGAATTCTTAAAGGAATAACTTGGAATTGACTTTCTGTGCAGAGAGTAAGATGAGATTCAAACCACTTGTGTTCATGGAGCTGCTGCAAACCACCTCCTGAACTTGACACTGACTTTTTTTTTAGTGGGTATTAATCCACACAGACATGCTGCGCTGATGATAGAACCAGAAGTACTAATACATCCATCCATTATCTATACACCAATTAATCCTCACTGGGGTCTTGGGGGCCTGGACGCTATCCCAGCTGACTCAGGGTGACGGCAGGCCCTGGACAGGTAACCAGTCTATCTACACTTAGAGAGGGAGAACATGCAAACTCCACACAGAAAGACCCCTGGTGACCTCACCGGGATGCGAACCGACGACCTTCTAGCTGCGAGGCGACGGTGCTAACCACCACTCCACCTTACAGCCCAAGTAAAAACACTTCATTGCATTTAAAGCCCTACATAAAAAATCCTACTTAAGTGAAAGAGCCTAAACATTAGCAGCAAAATGTAGCTGAAGTATTAAAGTACTGATTTGGTCCCTGTGACATCAGTAGATTATTAGTAGTGAAGCATCGGTGTGTGAGCAGCACATTACTGTTGGAGGTTCCAACTCCTTTACGTACAGTTTTATATACAGACAGCAGATAAATGAGACGACTCATCAGATGATTAATGCAAGAGGGAAGAAGAGCAAACCAGCATCTATTTTTTGAGCATCTTTGGGGTTAACATTGAATCATTTGTACATTTCTTGAAATGAATGTGAGAAAAATCATTATTTCTCGGAGCTGTTAGCAGCAAGACGCGACCCTGGAAGAAGCCACAAAGGTTGGAAACGACGAGTTTAGTCTTTGAGTGTTGCATTAAAAAAATCTGTTGTGTAAAATCTTTATCCTCAAGTTAACTACAGCTTTCTAACAAATAGTAGAAACTACACAATGTCCCTATAAAGTCGTAGAAAATGGAAAAACTCGAGAATTGTAGTATAGGAGTAAATGTACTTTAAGAGTGTGTTGTGTTTTAAAAGCTTGTTATATTAACTAAATCTTTATTTTATTAACTTCCCATCATAGGGTGAGCTGTTAAGGTGCTCGTATGTGGGTTTTGCTAGCTATGATATGGATTCACCGGAAATGTTCTGAATTCCATCCATCCATCCATTATCTATACACCGCTGAATCCTCCACGCAGAAAGATCCTGGGTGTCCTGAACCGGCGACCTTCTTGCTGTGAGGCAATGATGCTAACCACTGAGCCACCTTGCAGCCCTGTTCTCAATTCTACACTTTTAAATCGTCTCTATTACAATTGTCAAAATTTCTTTTTAATAATTGCGTTGATTCCAGAGCTGCCGTTTCATATCATCTCCGATCACACAAACTCTTCTGGGTGCAAGTGAGCACCACATGAGACATTTTTTTAAAAAAAAAAACCCTTTAAAGCTCCATAATGTACACATAGGAAAGCTGCAAGTGAAATTATGCGTTCTTAATAACACCCAAACAAGCATCTGTCAACGATACACTATGTGGCCTCATTACAAAGAGACAGAGAGAAAAATAAAAGCTCCAACTAACAGGCACGTTCACAGTGAGAGCAATGAGGCCTGGAGGCATAAAGTGACCTGAATAGGAGAGAAAAGGAAGTCCGCTGGACAATAGTTGCAGAGTCATTTGGAATATTAAAGTGCAGCGGATTGTGTAACAGCCAGAGATCAGCACTGCAGCGATGCCTCTCTGGAGACGGTATTGATCTGCTGTTGCCAAGCGGACCTATAGATGTGTTTGTTTACTTTTTTTGGGAGCCGCTAAATGGCTGCATCGTGATCCACCAAATGGGGCTTCTGAAAAAGAAATGACAATCTGATTATGGCTTCTTTTTTTGTTGTGATGAATTTTGGCATTTCAAGGCCTCCAGAAGACACTGCTTCGGCTTCTTTCTCAGCAAAGTGAAAGAAAAAAAGGGAATTCAGAGTGTCATCCCATTATGGTCCATGGCATTGAACTCAGAGCTCCCTGGAAAACTGAAAATGACAATTTACTTACAGCCTCATAGTCGGCGAGCTCCAGCCTGGCTTTGTTCTGCATGGTGCGCTTGCACAGGTAAATGGCTGGAGGAGGGAAAAAGAGAAAGATTCACACTGGTTGTTTGCTTTGCAGCTACAAAACATGAATGTTTCCAATGGATGGTGCTCCTTTCTTTTCTTTACTGCGAACAACACTAATGAATGTCTTAGTGGAGCAGGCAGGCGATGTGCTGCCTTCTGAAATAACAAGCCTTGAGTAAATGCCACGCAGGGAGCCGGAGATGTCGTCAAATCAGCGACTGTCCCCTTTTTATTTTGTTAGGCTAATCTTATCCCCGCTGGATTCTCCCCAGCGGGGGGTCCGCGGGGCCAGATACGTTTCAGGGAATGGCCCTGCGGATCAATACTCGGTGAGTGTCAACAACGGATCCACAATGTGAGCCGAAGAAAAAGAGAGAGACAGCTGAAGGCATTAGGGAGATCTGAGCGGTTTGGAGAAAGAATTGACAGACAAGAGTGTGACTCACCATAGTCTGTGTTCTCGGGTTCCCAGCAATTTGAAGGCCAGAAGTATGGAGACTGATGAAAACAGAAGGGAAGGGAACGACAAGGAAACAAAACTGTTTATTTTCTGGTATAATCAGTATTATAATTCCTTTATTTTTGCGCTGTCGAGATAAACAACACGTCTGAATCTCGTTCCTCCCGCCACCCACGCTTCCCTCCGCGCGAAAAAGTCAAAAGACGGCTCTTTTGTTTGATGATGATCTCTGACGTCCGCCAGAACTATCTGGGGAGCGATGGTAGCTATATTCTCCCTATCCATATTTAATTGTCTATTGCAACTGATATTACACATTCAAAGTTCATTCCCAAGTCCATTAATAATGGATCACTCACTTCCATCATGCATTCTTAATAACGGGGCAGAATTAGAAGTTATCTAACACATATTTCATTTTGCGCTATTTCTCATCGAGGCAATTAGCCCGAGAGCAAAAGGGCCGACGCTGATGGATGTTTGAGCGGAGAGCTTTCATTCAGCATTGTCATCTCGGCTCAGATTGATCCTCGCGTTGCATAAAGCTGCAGATTCGGGTCTTCTACCAGTATAGTATCCGCATGTATTTTTAGACTAGCACACATTCCTCTGTCGCTATTTTTTTTTTCCTGTACAACACAGCTGCGGCCGACACATCTCAAATCCACTGTCTTTTTAGAGGTTCTGATGACGTGGGCCTGTTGCATCACAACAGCATCAGAGGGAATATTTTTAGCCCCCCGCTGAATGAGTGAGCGCGACGCACGCTGGCCTCCGTGCACAATAATGGCTTTTAATCTTTTGGCAATAGGGGTGAAAATGAATGCATTCAGAGGTAGATGGAAAAGGAGGAGGAGGAGGTGGAGGAGGAGGTGGAGGCTGGTGACAGTGAAAAGTGCAGAGCCACTGTGCAGCCAGCTCAGCGCTTCCCATAGGGGAGCCTGCCTACTGTAGCTGACTGGCCCGGATTAAGACGCTAATGGCCCAGTCACAGTAATGAGTCAGCGTGGAGCCCGTAGCCTTCACAGGGACCTGTCAAAGTCCATGCTGGATAAGACGGAGCTAAGAAAAAAATAGAAAAGAACACCCCATCCGACAAGCTGCCCCCGTTTCCGAAGGCCCACCTCCCGCTCTGATGTAGCGTCCGGCAGGGATGTACAGTATCGACCTTGGTGGAGGTGAGTAATAGGCTTAGGAGGGATTGCTCTCATTAGCATCACGCAATAAACATCCCTCTGATAAACTACCATCATCTCATTCAGCATTCACAGGCCCTCCCCGCGAAGGACACTCCCCGCCCTTCTCCATACCTGGAAGCGATAAAGGGTTCCGTCGTCTTTGAGGGTCAGGACGTGGTCCGAGATGGGGAAGATGTAGCCGTGGGCGGCGACCAGACTCCCGAGGTGGATGGCTTCGGCTGGTGACACGAGAGAAGGCACAGCTTTTTGAAATTGCCTCCAATCGCCAGCTCCCGTTGGCGCGCACATGTGCCGACAGGTTTCTCAAGCAGGCTTACCTGGATCCTCGATGGAGAGGTTTTTCATGAGCCACTGAACAATGTCCGCTCCTGTTATTCAGAGAGGAACAGTGGTTAGGAGTGGCAGGGCCAATTCCGAATCTGCGATAGATTCGACAAAAGCCGCAATGTACGAACACAAATGCGCTTTGAAGGAGTCTTTGTGATGTTCAAAGCTGTGGGTCAAAGCTGTCAAAGCTGAGTAGGTTTCTAAATATAGCATAATGTTTGCAGGTTTTGCTGTTCGTTTTCTCTTTTTTTTTCTTCTCTCTCAGCTCCTGGACCGTACAGTATTTGGCCTCGTCTTTGTGCTTGGCTGAGGCTGCCGAGGGAGAGATGGTGAAGCCGTCAGGCCCGGGGGAGCCATGTGAAGGAGTGACTCAGAAAGAGCCTGAGGGAGAGAGGGAGCATCCCCCCTCGTCCAACACGGGGTGACTCATTTCATACACGAGCACAAACATAAAGGAGTGGAGTGCACACAGACAACACACAAAATAAAAAAAGAGGAGGGAGGGAAGTCGCTTTTCTGCTGCCACGACAAGGGCAGTGTCACACCACAGGCAGTTTCCTCAATGGCCAAGGTCTTATCAGCAAAGACATCATCTGCCTCCAACTGTAGTAGCAGCAATTTAAATGAGCCCAAAAGGTCACGCTTGCTTTGGTGATTCTCGCTCGTATGTTCTGCCAAGTCCCAGGATAAGACGAG